CCCAGAACAAGCAGCAGCAGCAGCGGCAGCAGCAGCAGCAGCAACAGGGAAGGAAACGGCCTCAGTACTGCCACACTCTCAACGGGACCGCCTTGGCTGTGGGAAGGGTTTTGGCTGCCCTTGTGGAAAACCACCATGTGCGCTACAAACCCTAAACCCTAAACCCTTGGCGGTAAACCGTAAGCCCTAAACCGTTGCGGGTAAACTCCAAACGCTTGGGGGTAAACCCTAAACCCTTGGGGGTAAACCCTAAGCCCTAAAAACTGTGTTTTACAAACCCGAAACCCTTGGGGGTAAGCCCTAAACCCTAAACCCTTGCGGGTAAACGCTAAATCCCTGGAGGCAAACGAGTAAACCCTAAATCTTTGGGGATAAAACCTAAACCCTAAACCCTTGGGGGTAAACCCTAAAGCCTAGTCGCCCCTCTCCAGCCGCCGCCTCACTCGCTCTGCAGCCCTCCGCTCTCCCACTACTACTTAGGTTCTATTTATTTACTATTTTATTATTTATTTATTTATTTATTTATTCATTTATTTATTTATTATTTTTTGTTTTCAGTGCACTACAGATGAAGGAGAACCTGCTGTCAAGCTGCCGCCCCCTTTGCGGCCCTTCTTTAACGGCAAAACCTACCTCACTAGGGGCCCTTGAAAACTAGGGTTTAGGGTTTAGGGTTTATTAAGTTTCGCGTCGTTTGATTAACTAAAGGGACAAAAGAAAGCAAGTAACTTCGAAAATAAAGTTATTTCGTGCTCATCATTTTAAATGAAGTAGTTCGAGCAAAAGGCGCTGGGATGTTAAGGTGTCTGTACACCCGAACACACCAAACCCTCCTGCATGGGTTTGAAACGGCCGCAAGAGAGTTTAAAAGTTTAAATAATGGAAAAAAAACATTTTTGATTTATAAAAGAATTTGATTTCAGTTATTCACACGTTTAAATAAAGCTATTTTCCACTTCGCGGGGTCGGCCGGAGCTGCGGATACACCTCAGCACATCCGTGCTTCTCCGTCTCGCGATCGCGGCAGCAAACGAATTAAAAATGCATTTCAGAAACTATTTGATTAATTTAAAAGAAACAATTCACTTTTAAGCCCTACTTTCCACTTAAAAAGGCGGCGAGGGGCCCCAGGAAACTCCGTCGCGAGTCTTCGCGCTGCCGCGAACACGGCGAAGCTGCGGTGTACGTACACCTCAGACAGGCCCCTCAAAGCCCCCGCACCTTCTTTTTGCTGTTTTACCCCAATGTGTAGCTGAAACTTTCAAAAAAAAGAACCAAAAGAGCCCCAGGGGCCCCCGAAGTTGACAAACTGGCTGCCTGCGGTGTACGTACACCTGAATCCAGGCCAAATCCAGCAATCCATCTTTCGACAAAATGGAAAAAGGCCCTTTGGGCTGTCTCTGCCACCAAGTGGACACTGTTGACGGGCTAGTTTTCGAGATAGAGCTGCGCCAGCTGCAGCAGCAGCCCTCCGGGGGGCCCCCAGAGGGGCCCCCCTGGGGGGCCCCGGAGGGTCCCCCGGGGGCTCCCCCAGGGGCCCCTAGAGAGCCGGGGGGCCCCCAAGAGCCTTGGGTGTACCCTGGCAATCTACAGTGCGCACAGGAGTACTCAGGTGACCCTCAGGGGTACTTTGGGGGACCCCAGGGGTACTGGGGGGCCCCCCAAGGGTACGCAGGGGGCCCCCACGAAGACGTGGGGGCCCCCCAGGGTCACCTATGGGGGCCCCCAGGAGGGTCGGGGGCCCCACAAGGGTACTTGGGGAGCCCCCAGGAAGACTTGGGGGGCCCCCAGGCGTACTGGGGGGCCCCCCAAGGGTACTGGGGGGCCCCCCAAGGCCTCTTAGATGAGTGTTTAGGTGTAGAGACAGCTGGGGGGTGTTGGAAGGAAGAGAAGTTTGTTGTGGGCTGGCAGCAAAAGGTATTTAGTCAAATGTGAGTTTAAAAGAAACAAAAAGAGACAAAAGGAAACAAAAAGGAGACACTTTATTAGGCCCTCTTTGCTTCTAAAGCACTAAAGGAAAAAAAATAAAAAACGAGAGAAACAGAGACACAATAGCCCCCACGCTGCTGCTGCTGCTGCTGCGCAGCAGCAGCAGGAGGGGGGGGGGG